TTTGAAGCTCTGGGACAACTTGGGTGGGCTACGTGAAGTTGGTCCAACTTTTAATATTTTTATTTCACGGTAAAAGTTTGGACTTGCAAATTCTAAAAATAGACTTGCAAATACTTGCAAATAACTTGCAAAATAATGGCATAGATTTCGAAAAATTTGGAGTAATTAGGTGGGCCAACTTCACGAACGTTACTTTGAAAGTTATTATCTGTCGTTTTTATACATGGAATATGATACAAAAATAACATCAAGTTTCAATGTTTACCTATAATTTATATTTTTTTCAAAAATTTATCTTTAATCTATGTATATCACATGCGTACAATTTTTACGTTTATTGTTCACAATAAGGTTTAACATGAATTCTGCGGGGAAACTTGTAAAGGAGGTCAATCGCTCATGTCACCCTTCACCGTAAATACACTTCTGTGCAACTATAACTCAGGTGTATGAGAATTTGTCTATAGCATCTGCATAACGTTTCATTATTAAAACGATTAAATAATATCAATAATAATTATATAGCATTATTTGTACCCACTGCTCGCCGAATAACCGTCGTCGTCGTCGTCGTCATCGTTGTACATTGCCAGCAGCAACGTACAAGTCGAACGCGTATAATATATTATTAAATTACACACAAAACGGTTTTGGGCGCATTGGTAGGACTAATGATCGAATTATATAATACGTATACAAACGGTCCGAGCATGTATAATATATTGAATTATATTATTAAACCTATCTACCTACCCGATAGCTATATACGATATTCGGTCCCAGATGAGCACGAAAACACGATATTATGTCACGGATGTATATATAGGAAGACCGGGGATAGTTGTCACACAGGTTGGTTGTCATAATGTTAATATCTCTGAAACTAGATGGTATATTTCAATATTTGTGTTCACTATTATAATATTATGCACTTAAACTGGTACATTATAAAAATAGAAATAATCATATTACTTATATAGACTCTGGATTAATAATTGTAGTCATAATATTATGACGGATTTTAAGACGAAAAAAATGAAATTTAAGTCTGTTAGTAATTTTTATCCATAAATACATATAATATTTGATATTTATTTACTATACCTAACATTGTTATTGATAAATGGAAAATATCTATCTAGTGTGTTCACGGTGACGTATATATTTCGTTATGTAATTTTCGTCTACAATTGATAACTTTACTCTAAGGCTGAWGACTTCTAGTACTTAAAAACATTAAATTATATTATATTTACTTATGTATTTTGAAAAAATATGCGCTTAAAATATTAGGATCTTAAAAATATAATACAGTAAAACCTCTAGACACCGGGCACTCTCAAATCACGTTAAAAACTTTCTAATACCTATGTGCCCTAATTTATTTAATAAACTCTAATATGCAAACATTTACAAAACACAATTTTTAACCTCTTTGTGTTTTAAATATATTCATACATCATATCGTTCAGCGACCTTTTGAGATAAATATGAAAAAAATAAAAGTAATAATCCTAGTGATAACTCATAAAGTTAATCTGTTATCACACATTGCGAAGGGTTTATTGTCATATGACACGTATGGTTAACAGTTAACACTTTAAAGGGTTCATTCTAAATATATTTAAATTTGTTACATTTCATTAACTTGATGTATTTACTGTTCATGGATTTAAATTAGTTGCATAGAGTAAACATAATTACGACATAAAATTGAAAACTAAAAGTTTAATTATTGTATGTACTTATCCTTTGATTCACCTGTAGAGACAACTAACCACGCAATGATGTGAAAACCACTTTCTAAAGTAAAATTAGGTTGTCAACATTTTTTTTWTTATTATTATTATTTAAAAACGTAATCAAACTTTATATTATTTATTTTCATTTTTATTTATTTTTATTATTTTTTTTAGTATGTTTTCAATTCGATTCTCTAAATAACTTGACAAATGAAACTTTAAAAATTATATTTAAAAAAAAAAAAATTAAATAGGTAGTAAAATGTGTGACAATAACTATCCCCGGTATCCCCAAATAATATTTCAAGACATAAACACCATATTTTAACAGTAATTTAAAATTATGATTGTGTGTAGTAAAATACTTGTGAATAATATATTMATGATTTTATTAATATCTATGTATGACGTTTTCGTTTTGTGTACAGTTTGACGATCACCGCGTCGTGTCCCATGAACCTGCAATACTTCCCGATGGACCGACAGCTGTGTCACATCGAAATCGAGAGCTGTAAGTGCATATCAACGCTATGCTATGCATATTTTATTATATTATATATTATTGAATGATCGATCGTTATTATACGATAACGACGATGGAAAAAATCTATCTGTACATTTTTTTCCCGTTAATTTCGGTGTCCTTCTACCCCACAAACAGCACTGAGCCACGTGCCCGAGGAGAGAAGGACCAGGCACATTGCACCTATATAACTACCTCAAGTATATAATACAAAAAATTCAAATTACGCTATACGTAATAATATAACTATATATTATTATCAACGATTTTTTGCAAACAACCATCACGCGAATATGATTTCATTATATTTATATTTTTCTCTGATATTTTATTATATATATAAATCGCGCACGCACCAAACATTATACATTTTATTTTTTGTTTTTTACTCAATAATCAATATGCTGTGATCCATTTAACGTAAGATATTCATTATTTAAGAAAAACCTAGTTTTTTGAATATAATTTTTAGTCGYTACAAAACAACATTTTTGGAAAAAATTTATATTTTTAACTATATTTTATCATTATCATTTTTTACTGAAGAACAACATACACTTTTAATTTAATRTTTTTGAATATTATTTGGAGTATTACGATCTATAAAATTCAAATTTTAGGCGATTAGTCTATTAGTTACGTTCACTTACACGAATAATTAAAATTATAAAACACAAACTACTCGTCCAAAATTCAATTTTTGTACTTCCGAGTAGGCAATCCAAAAACTATTCTACTCTGGAATATGATTTTAAAACGCAAGTTGTCTTTAAACAAAATAAACTATATAAAAATGATAATGAAAAAAAAAATTTTTAGTTAGAGAGCTTATACAAAAATAATATTTTCAAATACGTTAATAATTTTTGAATTAATGAGTGTTGTACGTTAAACAGATCATCTGGTATATACAARACAACTTTTATAATAATATATGCACACCTAAAATAAACTATACACGTCACACAACTCACACACACATACGCAAGACAAAGCTTATAATACGCATAAATAATATTTCATAATAATATTGATAATAATAGTAAAAATATTATATTATATAATGTATCGACTTACCTTAAAGTTTCGCGCGCGTCACACTATTGTCATTCGTATATTGCGACGACTTGCGGTGAGTGACGCGCGGCGTTCTGCGCGTTCTGATGGTTTTTGTTTTTCATTTTTTGTCACGTTTATTCACAGTCGGTTATACGATGCGTGATATCCGGTACAAATGGAAAAATGGTTTTAAATCGGTCGGGATTAGCAACGAGGTGCAGTTGCCGCAGTTCCGAATTCTCGGGCACAGGCAGAGGGCCACCGAAATTAACCTATCTACAGGTAGATTATTGACACGCGACCTAACCATCACGCACGCGCGACTTATAATCGCATGATTACGCATAATTATAATAATAAATGATTTATACAATATTGTATGGATTTTTGCGGTACATCGATATGATTTACGATATATTATGCAATCAGCACACGTACCTGCATTGTAATAATTATATTAATTTATGGTACGCTTGACATCATAGTAATATGATGTACGAAATAATATTATGTCATACCTCATTCGATATTCTGTCGAGCGCGTGCCCGACACGTGATGGGTGGGTCTCGGGCTCCGAAGACAGGTCTAAACGTTAGAGGTGTGCATTTGTGATTTCCCCAGTTGGTTATACGATGAGAGACATCCGGTATAAGTGGAATGAGGGACCGAACTCGGTGGGCGTGTCCAACGAAGTGTCCCTGCCTCAGTTTAAGGTGCTGGGACATCGGCAGAGAGCTATGGAAATTAGCCTGACAACAGGTAATGTTTCGGACGAAAAATTATCTCCAACGCAAGTATAATAATAATAATAATATTGTATAAAAATTGTATATAATAACGTWATAGTATTGTTTTTGATGTTTTTGACATCAACGTATATTAAATAATACGATAATTGAAAAGTAATATTCAGTTGTACATTATGAATAATAGTGTTATGTACAATACAGCGAATATAATTTTTTTTCGACTACTTTTCCGAAAGAAAAACTGCCRCATAATTATGTTAACAGTAGTAATTAAACATTCTGCCCTCCTGAAGGAAACACAATGAAAAAWATTAAGATATTTCGTGTTATTCTGGCTAAATGGCCAATTCTCAACGTAATTAACCTATACCATGATAAAACGCAGTTTATGTGTAGGTTATTTATGTAAGGTACCTTGCAGGTAGCATGTCCTAAAGAATAAACAGTCTTTTTGTAAAATTAACATTTTTTTTTTCAAACCAATTTCCTAATTCGTTACTGGGTGTAGTTCACCTACAGTGATTCTTTTTGTAATAAAATGATTTTGCAATATTCGTATGCACGAACGAACCGAAACATTTACTTGGAAATAAAATTAGGTATTTGGTACGATTATTTACTAAACAGATGATATATTAAACCATTATTTAGTTATCTGTACTTATCAATATATCGGACAACGTATAAAAAGTAAATCACATATTTTTACTATWRYAGAGACAGTTGTGCTACTTTATTGGGGTAAATRATAATATTATATGATAACATCATATAATATAGCACGATTAAGTATTAAAAGTAAAAAATATTGAAAATAAGAATCACATAAAAATGTCGAGAACGCATATTACTGACAACACTCGCCATTCATATTACGTATGTGCAAAAATAAAACAGTGTGGTTCGCTAATTTCAATGCGGAAAACGTATAAATCAAAAAACTCGTTTTCTCGATAACATGGATTTTAAGAGATGTAATTCACTCTATTTAGGAGGGCAGTAGTCAGTTTATATATACGGTAGACTTAGTAATGTGTACGTTACATTGTCGTCATATTATTATACAATAGGTATATAGCTGCAGCAAATAGTCGTAKCCTGGGCTCGAAACCGGCTAAAACCTAAGTTTTTCATTTTCAACGTCGTAACCRGAACTAAAATCTTTAAATCTCGCGTTAAAAATGAATTACTCAAATCTAAACATTTTAAAAACAGTTACTTAAATCTAAGAATTTAAGTAGCCATCAACCAAACCTATGAGTTTAAAAAAAACAATTATCGAAACCAAAACCGATAAAAGATAAAATTCATATAGGTTTTTCCAGCTTTTTTTATCAATAGCATTATATTTACAATTCTAATTGAAATAATTAACTTAATATAAACTATAATATTACCTATGTTTGAGTTTATTGATAAAGATCACTACTTAAATAATATAATCTCAGTTAACACTCTTACATTCCTACAATATTGTATCACTGTGCATAATGTTTTAGTTAATCATAGTATAACTATGATTTAACATAAATAATACTATACAATTAGAGTCAATAAATCCATTAATAGACAACACAGACATGATCTATAGGAATTTGCAAGTAATTAAGAATAAGGTTTTAAAAAACCTAGTTTCAATATGAACAATTTCAAAAACTATTCTCGCAAAAGACTTAAAACTGGAAAATCCAACCCCAACCGATAAAATTTGAAACGGTTTCGAGCCCTGTTCGTAGTAAATTCTATATTACATCCTAATCAAATTCGTACCTACGTGTAACGTACCTACAATATTATAATCGRTTATACGCTGTACAGGTAACTATTCGAGACTGGCTTGCGAGATCCAATTCGTGCGGTCCATGGGCTACTATTTAATCCAAATCTACATACCCAGTGGACTGATCGTCATCATATCCTGGGTGAGCTTTTGGCTGAACCGGAACGCCACGCCGGCCAGAGTGGCTTTGGGTGTCACCACCGTGCTGACCATGACCACGCTCATGTCATCCACCAACGCAGCGCTGCCGAAGATATCGTACGTGAAATCCATCGACGTGTACCTGGGCACCTGTTTCGTCATGGTGTTCGCCTCGCTGTTGGGTTAGTGTACAAAACGATAGTTTTTTCCATTACTTTGTAATGATATTATAGGCAGATACAGTTATTCTTCCACTGTAAAATTTCCAAAAAAAAAATAATAATAACAACAAAATAAAACTAGACATAGGTRCCTAATATATTTCATAACTGAATAGATGATGGAAATATCTTTAAAAAAATCTAAAAAATCACATAACATTTCATAAATAAATAAATACTCATTATAATTATTACTTAATAATAATAATAATGTCTTAAAAAAATCATATAATTAATTTCAAGAATCGATTAAAAATCAAGGGTAGTTGAAAATAGAATGTTTCGTTCTATTTTAACATAAATATGTTTTTGAAGTGGATACAAGTTTTTATTTGTTTGTGACCAACTTTTCGTGAGGTTTTCATTTTCATGTTTACTTATATATATATATATATATAAACATATTATTTATGATTAATAGATTTACCTTGTAAAAGTAAAATATTGAGTAACTTGTTATAATTTTTTTTTTTTTTTGTTTAAGGAAAATAATTAGTGGAGGAAAACTATAGCCTGTAGTTATTTAATTTTTGAAGAAGCTGATCCCGCCATTGTAATACCTATAAACCATGACTTTTAGATGCATTGTTTAAATTAGATAAAATGGTCTCACAATATACATAAAATATAACAAATATATGATACGTGTGACAATTAGAAAATGCCAAGTTTATGATCATGAAAGTACAACACTGTTATTATTATGCTATGTAACTATTTATAATAGGTAGTACACACTAGAGAACTAAACATACTGATTTAAGTTACCCTTGCACAAAAATAGGTATTTTTTTTTTAAATATTTTTCCTTTTGGATATTATTTCCATAGACATTTTTTCTTTTGGTATTTTTAACAATTACCACGGGAACACACGTCAGAAATTCGGGTTGAAGGAAATGCTTATCCTCCACTCTCCTACCGGATTGTATTACCTATCCGTACCATTAACTAAGCGATATATGAGACCTTATTATCGGTTAAACTGTCGAATATGAAATGTTTTCTGTTCACAGAGTACACAATTATTAAAAATGCTTTAAAATTATTCCACCCTTATTTATTGTTATTTCCAACTTTTGTAGTCGATACTATGGGTGAAGCACTGAAGCAATGAAACCGAGTAGGTATTCGACAAATTTCTGTGTAGATACTATTACTTGCTTCCCCATAAATTTTATATTATTATTGTCACAGTCATAAATCAATTACTTAATTTAATCTAACAAAATACCTATAAAAAGTTGGTGGATAAAAAATGTTCATATGATTATATTTATTAATATGCTCGAAAAACTATGATCATAATTATTATGCAGTTCTATTATATTATTCATACTAGATATCATTCGTGTTGCATTTTACACACGGTCTGTTGTAACAAACACTACTTAAATTTATCATACTAATTTGATCTATGTGAACATAAGTGTCATTTAAATTACAAAAAATTGAATCAAATAATTTTTGTTTATGACTTCCGAGAAATTAATCACTGCCCTGAATTGATTTATACCGATTATTGTTTATGATTATATGACTGTTTACAAGCATTATAATACTCGACATTATTTATTTACACATTGTGTTTAAAAAAACCTAGTACTAAAAATAAACTGATTTTGGATTCATTAGACTTATTCTAGTGTACTTGGAATACGGGAAAGGGATAAAAAGTATTACAATTTGCAACTTATGTAGGTTTGTCGACCCTACCACTGGTTATTTAATACGCTGTATAATATTAWTTATACTACTATATATATATATACCTACATCACATAATCCCCTAATGCTGATAAACTGTTTTCGTTTCGGACAGAGTACGCCACCGTCGGGTACATGGCAAAGAGGATACAGATGAGGAAAAATCGTTTCCTGGCCATACAGAAGATCGCCGAACAAAAGAAGGGTGGCCACGACACACTAGGTCATGGACACTCGCATCAACAGCAGCGCTCCGGTCACGGAAATATGTCCGGCCACAATACGCTGTCCGGTCACAACACGCTATCAGGCCACAATACCCTTTCTGGCCACAATACGCTGTCTCACGGCTTGTCAGGCCACGGCTTGCCACCTTCCCACGGGACTATGATGGGCCACGGTGGATACGATAGCCATCGGCACAGTCATATTGGCCACGGTGGTCATGGCGGCACCTTGCCGAGCCAAATCCTTCCTGGAGATATGGACCACGCGCACAGACAAACTGTGAGTGTCATTCCAACAAGTGATTTTTTTATCGGAAAACAATCTATATTCTCTGTTATACTTGCCACAATACATATATAACTGAGTTAAAAATACCTCATACAAGATTAAAAATAGAGGTTAAAATCTAAATAGAATAATAGATTGATTGAGCTTGAGCGAGTAAAAAAAATATATATATAGGATTAACATAGATACAAAAAAATCAACAAATATACTACAGTATTATCAAATTTATTTTTACTATTTAAAATTACTTCAACACARTGTTTATAACATTTCCTATTACGAATTCAATAATTATTGTATTATAAAACTATTTTTTTCAAAAATTATAACTAATTAATCAATAACATCTTAAAAATCGAAAATTCATAAAGTGTCTTTTATMCTATAAGCCTATATTATACTACCTATAGTACTATTATTTCAGTTATCATATATTTATTTCTTCTAATAAGGTTATTTATATTATAAACAATTAATGATGCATCTACTATATTTTTTGCATCTATTCCATATATTTTAAATTTACATTTTATGCAAGTGTTGCCCTTGGTATTTACTTACATTTTTGCGAAAAATTCCCCAAAAACATACAGTGAATAATTCATTATGAGTACGACATTTACAAT